TGGTGTTCCATTGAATATAGTTTCTGTATAACTGTACTGAAAATGTAAATCAGATTATGAAAGAAACTCTGGATAAGAAAGGTTCAGTAATTAATGCTTCGGTGATGGGTAACATAGAAGATTCTTATCAAACCAGGCATATAAACCAAACAGGTACCGATAATGAACGATCTTGTTATGTGCATTTGAATCAAGATGAGAGGTGGAGACATTGAAAAATGAAAAAAAAAAAATCTTCTAGTTTTCGAAATTATTATGTGTAAAAAAGAATTACATGGTATATAATATTTTACATGAACCTATGGTATAGATAGCTGGTGACCAATCCAGTAACCTTAATAATGAATGTAATCAACTTAAAACATAGGAAACAACGCAGAAGAAAATTCTTTTTAGTGTCTTTTTAAACTCGTCCAATAAAATTAAGCTTTGAAATAGGAGAACCAATAGTTTAAGAACTTCCGATATTGTTCTAAGTTAGGTAAACGGTGGAAGCCGTATTGTATAATTGAGAAAGACGAGGACCAAGAATATTTATCAAAGATCAGAGCAGAACGTAACTAAAAGCATTGAACTGTTGATATTGGAACTTGAGACAAGCCGATGATTTGAAAAAAATATGTATAAAGAGACCGATGCAAAGAAGTTCAAGCAAGTCTGCTGACAAGATTATGACATCTGCTTTGGGGGACTCTCGGCGTAATTATGATAGATTAACTGGAAAGGGGAAACTATTAATGGGCAGTACTATGCACCAAAATTAAGTCAACTGAAGGAATAAATCAAATTGAAACCAGAGGGAAGCTTGGCGACAGGCCTTTTGCTCCAGGATGCGCCCGTTCACACTGACCAGGTTGCAGTAGCCAGCTAGCTAAACAGTTTTGTCTGCGACTTCTTTACCACCAGAATTTCCCCACCGCCTGCACGTGATACGTATATAACTGTATCCATATTTGCCATCATTGCTAAAATTGATCTCACAAAGAATGTGGACTTGATGTTATCCCTGCAGTCCTTGATGAAACGTGCCTTGAACTAATCCAGATTTTTCTTTAAACTTACAATAAATGACTTGCTGCTTATTGCTGGAAACTTCCAACTAACTTCTACCCGTTTCCTAAACTCAAATCCCACATGAGTGGCTTCTTCCGCCATTTTGGAAAAAAAGATGAGATTACATATGTCTGCGGAGCAGTTTTGTGAACCAGGAAGCTATTTTTTCCGTGATGGCGTTGCTATGCCTAAGCATCATTGGACCAAATGCATTAATGTCATGGAGGGAATAGTGAAAAAAACGGTATTGGTATCTCCAACTATTTCTGCGTGAGGCTTAGAACATTTTGAACGACAATGGTATATCATTGGGTAGATATGGTAGTGTAGATATGACAGTGTAGATATGGTTAGGTAGATATGGGTATCATATATTTTTCAGATGGCCTGAATCCTTTGTTCACTTTAAGAATATCAAGTCTGTAGAGCAAACTTGACTGTCCTTTGCATGAGTTTTAATTCAAGAGTAATGAAGCAGGAAAAATATCAATTTAATATTTCTAATAAGAAAATGGTAACGAAGAAACATTAACCTATTTATTTAAAGAATTTCGTATGATCTGCTTCTTCAGTACGTATTTAGAGAGCTCTGATAAATTATAAAATAAACAATGTATTTTGGTCTATGTGTATTTGGTATGAGTAAGAAATGTTAAAATGATAATTTGATACGTGTATATTTAAAATCATGGCTTTAATAAGAAATCATCAAAATTTCATTACAAAAAATTTTGAATTGATCTAAAGGCTACAAATAGAAAACTATCCAGTAAAAATTATATTATTTAATAAATCCGACAATTAATATCATTATAATCTGTTGGATTAAAAAAATCCATTCCCTGAATTTAAGAATTTCTGTCTCGTATCAATATTGAAATCGTCGAACTATTTACCTTACAAATGTTCTAAAAACAACTAGATTCTCATCAAAATGGTAGATTGTCGTTTATATCAGAACATCTTGGAAAATTATTACAGGTGTTCTCGTTTCGATTATTAGAATGTAGATAAACTCGTTGGAAGTCTTTTGAAAAAAATTCAGTCAATTGGTATCAAATCATAAAATGAAAGTTATCTTGAATGGCTACTCCCTCTAGATCTTTTGCATTAATGCAGGTGTCCTCCAGGGCTTTGTATTCTCTTTGGACCTATGTTGTTCTTAATTCTCATAAATGACCTTCCTGATGTCATCATTTCTAAACTCGGTATCTATGCTGATGACACAACTATTCCCATACGTGAGTTTGTTCGGTTCGATAAGGTTAAATTGGTAGTAGATCTAAAGAAAATCACCTACAATCTGTTGTTAACTAAGACAAGGAAAGGCTTGTTAGTTTTAACGTATCCAAAACGAAATTGCTCTTTTTTAATCGTATGTGTGAACCCTTTTTATCGTCCATCATCATGGCTGGTACTAACCTCATTCGAGTGATCTATTGCGCCTCTCTGACCAACGTTTCCCGGCCAACATGTGAGGAATGTGTATATTGAATGAATTTGTAGGCCTGTTGTGAAAATTCTTCCTCGCCAGAATCTAACTTATATATCTATAGAACAACCATTCGTCCTTGCCACAAAAAATAGCCCCACATGGGGAGTTAATATTTTGTTGTTCAAGACCAATTTGCACAAAATCCAAATAATTTGCAACTGAATATATTTCACTAATAAATATAGAATAATATCTCTAAAATTAGCAGAAACCAGGATCACTATTATAAGTTAGCGTCCGTTTTACTCTACCGGATTATTTGATTGTAAAAGTTGAATAAAAACTGACAGGGGTACGTAAAGGAAAGGTATATAAAGTTCTTGTTTTTAATAAATAAAAAAAACTTTTATTGATATAAGAGAAAGGATGTAGGACACAAAAATGTTAAAAGTAAAAAGGTGTCCGTATTAGCAAAACAAAGATTGAGACCCATTGAAAGAAAGTGAGGCCACGAGGATAAATATGGTGAACATTCTTGTGTACGCAAAAGTCATGAAGGTAAAGTAGACAGATTATTTGATATGTGATATGTGCCATAGATTATTAATATTATTAGATTATAATAAACAGTATTAAAAGAACATTTGCTTAAATACTTGTATCTATAACAAGAATGTATAAACATAAAATGTCTTAACATAATTGTCGGACTGTCATTTCATAATGTGTGACGTCAAGTTATTTACGGTGATACGCCATGAGCAGATATGAATGTACGGAGAGATCTATGAAGACTTCAGTTCGGGAAATATACAGTAAATTCGACCTTGTTAACAACTGAATCCTCTGTGACTAATCGGTAAAAGGCACGTCAAGCTAAATGATTTGTCCGTATAAGCTGTACAGATTCGAATCCTGAGGACGGAATATTTCTGTGAAGACTTTCGACATTCAGGCCGTTGTTTAATACTGTTTATTATATAAAACAGAGCATTTACTTAAATATTTGTATCTACAAAAAATGTATAAACATAAAATATCTAAAAATGCCATTTACACACACCCATACATACATACATACATATATATATATATATATATATATATATATATATATATATGGTTATGATGTACCTGTATTGAACTCACAAATTCTTTGGGTCCAATTACCGGACCCAACCGTCTTATCTATCAAATACATGTACTTGAAGATCGTGTCTTAAGGATATTTTGCTGTCATGTCTTTTTTCTGGCAGTTTTCACGATCAAATCACTACGCAGTGCCCTTCTCATTTCTTGCCCCTGCAACCTGCAAAAATCTTCAAAATTTTAAATGCAAATGTCAATCGCCATCTTCTCTGTCTTTATGAACTCCTTTTCCTTTATTGCTCTTTCCTCACTTCTCCCTAAAGTCTTCCCATTCACTTTCACACACATTAACACACTGCGTCCTAATGGCATTATTTCCTTTATTCGGGTGAAATGATTACAGAAACAGTAGACCTTATTTCCCACCAGTGTTTATATCTTATAATTTTGGATAATGTTGGATATTGGCTTAATTCGATATGCAAGGTCTTCAAATAAAAGAAATAAAGTAAATGCATTTCTTCAAAATTATAAGAGTATTTTTTTAAAATTTTTCTGTTGTTATGGCTGATTGTTAAGTAAGGTTACCAATCCTATAAAGCAAACTTTACACAAGATGATATAAAGAAATTTGTATCAAATCAGCTGAGAAGAAAAAGCCTCTGCGAAAGAAATGTTGGTAAATACACAAAGATAGAAAAAAGAGTGAGACAGTGATGTGCCTTCGAGGATTTTTATGCAGCATAGGAAAACGACTTAAGAGGAGAGAAACTTGCTTGCAGGGTTTTTTTATCGGTGAACATGACTCAAGCAACATAAACAAAGGACACTCGACTGATGGATGATTCAGAAAATAAATTGAAATAATTATCCAACAATGTAGCGGAACAAACTAGGGAAATGGACTGGATATTAATTGTAAACTAATGCATGGTGTTATAAAGAAATAATCAAACCAAAAGCTTATGTAACATGGTTGTCAAAAGCAAATATTTAAAGAAATATAAATATCTGTCGTAAGTAAGAGCAGAAGATGCGAAAATCCGAAGATACATAGAAATTGGAAAACATTTCAGAAATAGGCAATGTATTCCTGGAACGAACAATATCATTTTGAAAACAAATAAATGTTGTATAATTTCCAGCGCGGTAAAGAGACTTGATATTCACAGAGTGTAAAAGAGAAGCGAATTTGGTGGTGAGGTAAAGAGATTTAATATTCGAAGATGGAAAGACACTTCACTTTCGCAGAAGTAAAGAGATTTGAAATTTTCAGGGTAAAACAGACTTGATATCTAGAGCGGCAAAAAGATAGTTGATATTCACGGAGCTAAAAAGAGACTTGGTATTCGCCAACGTAAAAGACGTAATATTCGCAGGCACAAGACTAGATATTCGCAGAGAGTGTAAAAGAGATTGTATTTCAGAGTAAAGAGATTTTGGTATTCAAGTTAAAAAGACCAGAAATTTGCAGAAGTAAAAGAGACCAGATATTTGCAGATGTAAAGAAAACTTGATATTCGCAGAGGTAAAGAGACTTGGTATCTGGGGTAGAGATAAAGAGATGGTACTTGCCTAGGTAAAATAGATAAGAAATTTGCAAATGTAAAAGAGACCAGACATTCACAATAGAGGAAAGAGCATTGGTATTAGCCAAGGTAAAAAGACATAATATCCGCAGAAGTACAAGAGACCAGGGATATTCACAGATGTAAAAGAGACTTGGTATTCGCCATGGTAAAAAAACTAGAAATTTGCTGAGGTAAAAGAGTAATCAGATATCTGCAGAGATAAAAGAGACTTCATTCTCAGAAGTAAAAGACATCTGAAATTTGTAGAGGTAAATAGACCAGATATTCGCAGATGCAAAAGAGAATTTATATTCGCAGAGATAAACGAGGACTTGATATTCGCAGAGGAAAAGAGACTTGGTAGTCCCCATGGTAAAAGAGATCTGAAATTTCCAGAGGTAAAATAAACCTGATATTGGCAGAGAGGCGCTGGACATGGCATTCACCTAGGTAAAAAGAAAAAATCTGAAATTCGCAGATGTCAAAGAGACCAGAAATTATGAAGAGGTAATGACGACTATTCACAGAGGAGACTTCGTATTCACCAAGGTAAAAAGAGACGTGAAAATTCAGAGGTAAACGAGACCAGATATTCGCAGAAGCAAAAAGAAATTTATATTCAGAGGTAAACGAAACTTGGTATTCGATTTCTGAAAAAGAGACCAGATTTTCGCAGTTGTAAAGAGACTGGATATTCGCATAGCTAAAAAGCGACTTCGTATTCGCCAGTAAAAAGAGACCTGAAATTTAAAGAGGCAATGAGACCTGATATTCACAGGAAGTAAAAGACGGTATTCGCCATGGTAAAAAGAGATCTGTAATTTTCAGAGGTAAATAGACCTGATATTCACAGAGGTAAAAAGACATGTGGTATCTGTCAAGGAATGGAGGCCTGAAATTCCAGGTAAATGACATCAGATATTCTCAGCTGTAAAATAGAACAGGTATTCGCAGAGGTAAAAGATACTGGATTCAAAAGAGGTAAAAAAGAGGCTTAGTATGACCTATAAAGAGATCTGAAATCTGAAGATGTAAAAGAAACCAGATATTCGCAGATGTAAAAAAGACTTGATATTCGCAGAAGTAAAGAGAGAGAGATGGTACTCGCTTAGGTAAAATAGATCTAAAATTTGTAAACGGAAATAACCAGATAATCGCAGAGGTAAAAAAAGAGACCACATATCGTAGATGTAAAAGAGACTTGCATTCATAGAGGTAAAGCAGAATGGTATTCGCCATGGTAAAAAGAGATCTTGAAATTTCAAGAGGTAAAATAGACCTTGATATTCGCAGAGGTAAAAGAGACTTGGTATTCGGACAAGGTGAACAGACCTGAATTTTTCTGAGGTAAAAGACACTAGATATTCGCAGATGTAAAAAAAAGAGACCAAATATTCGTAGAGGTAAAAGAGACTTGGTGACCTGCAGAGGTAAAGAGAGTGATGTTACTTGCCTATGTAAAATAGATCTGAAATTTGCAAATGTAAAAGCAACCAGATATCTGCAGATGTAAATGAGATTCTTGCATTCACTGAAAAGCCATGAAATTTTCAGTGGTAAAGAGACTTGATATTCACAGAGGTAAAAGAGACTTGTATTCACCAAGGTAAAACAGACCTGTAATTTGGTAGAGGTAAAAGGGACCAGGATTTTCGCAGAGATAATGAGACTTGGTATTCGTAGACGTAAAGTCATCCAAATTTGCAGGCGTAAAAGAGACCAGATATTCGCTGATATAAAAGAGACTTGATACTTGCAGAGGTAAAAAGAGACTTGGTATTCGTCATGGTAAAAGAATTCTGGAAATTTCCAGAGATAAAATAAACTGATGAGTTTAATGACCTGGTATTCGCATTTTTAATGTTATTTTGTTTCCAAATAATCAATCCAAAAATTGTACGAGAAATAGTTATGATCATAAATAACTATAAAAATCGAAAACGGAATAGAGTAAATAAAATAAATATTTTACAAAAATAAAAACTAAGACAATAAATAAGAAAAAATAATCCTAATAAAAAAAATATTAAAATTGCAGAGATAAAAGAGTCCAGGTATTCGCAGAGTAAAAGAGACCTGAAATTTGAAGAGGTAAAAGGGACCAGATATTCACAGATGTAAAAGAGACTTGATATTCGCAGGAAGTAAAAAGATCTTGAAATTTGGTAAAGGTAAAAAGAGACCAGATATTCGCAGCAGATGCAAAAGAAATTTGATATTCGTAGAGTGTAAAGGAGACTTGCATTTTCAGAGGTAAAAGAGACTTGTCTACGCCATGGTAAAAGAGATCTGAAATTTCCTGAGGTAAAAGAAACCATATATATGTAGAGATATAAAGAGACTTGATATCTGCAGAGCTAAAGAGAGAAAGATGGTACACGCTTCAGGGAAAAATAGATCTGAAATTTGCAAATGTAAAAGAGACCAGATGTTCAAGAGAGTGGGGGTAAAAGAAACTTCTGGCATTCAATAACGTAAAAGAGACATGAAATTTGCAAAGGTGTAAAAGAGATTGTTATTCGCCAAGATAAAAAGGACCTTTAAATTTACAGAGAGGTAAACGAGGACCAGATATTTGCAGAGATAAAAGAGACTTGCTATTCGCAGAGTTAAAAGAGACTTGGCATCTGCCAAGGTAAAAGACCTGAAATTTGGTAGAGGTAAAGAGACTTGATATTCGCAGAGGTAAAAGTGACTTAGTATTCGCCAAGGTAAAAAGGACCTGAAATCTGAAGAGGTAAAATAGAACAGATATTCGCAGAGGTAAAAGAGACCTTGATATTCTCTGAGATAAAGGGGACTTATTATTCGTCAAGATCTGTAATTTCCAGAGGTAAAAATTTGTGATATCTGCAGAGGTAAAAGAGACATGTTATTCACCTAGGTAAATAGATCTGAAATTAGCAGAGCTAAAAGACACTAGATATTCGCAGATGTAAAAGAGACTTGACATTCGCAGACATAAAAGAGACTCTTGTATTCACCCAGGTAAAAAAGATCTGAAATTTGCAGAGGTAAAAGAGACCAGATATTCGCAGAGGTAAAATAGACTTCTTCTTATTCGCCAAGGTAACAGACCTGTATTGGCAGAGGTAAACAGACCAGATATCTCCAGATGTAAAAGAGACTTGATAGCCGCAGAGATAAAAAGAGAATTCGTATTCGCTAAGGTAAAATAGATTCGAAATTTGCAGAGTTAAAAGAGACCAGATATTCGGAGATGTCAAAGAGACGGTATTCGCCCTGGTAAAACAAGGTCTGAAATTCGGTAGAGGTAAAAGATACCAGATATTCACAGATGTAAAAGACTTGCCATTCGGTAGAGGTAAGAGAGTTGGTATTCGCCATCTGAAAGAGATCTGAAATTAGCAGAGCTAAAAGACAATTCAGATATTCGCAGATGTAAAAAGACTGACATTCGCAGATGTAAAAGAGACTTGTATTCAATTTAGTAAAAAAGATCTGAAATTTGCAGAGAGGTAAAATAGACTTGGTATTATTCGTCAAGGTAAAATAGACCTGTATTGGCAGAGGTAAATAGACCAGATATCTGCAGAAGTAAAAGACTTGATAGTCAAGAGATAAAAAAAGAGAATTCAGACCTGCCAAGGTAAAATAGATCTGAAATTTGCAGAGTTAAAAGACTTCATATTCGCAGAGGTAAAAGAGAGTTGGTATTCGCCATCTGAAAAGAGATCGGAAATTTCCAGAGTTAAAAGAGACCTGATATTCACAGAGGTAAAAGAGAGATGGTATTCGCCAAGGTAAAAGAAACATACCTGAAATTTGTAGAGTTAAAAGCCACCGGATATTCGCAAATGTAAAGAGACCAGATTTTCGCAGAGGGGAAAGAGACTTGGTATTCGACATTGAAAAGAGATATGAAATTTCCAGAGGTGAAAGAGACGTGATATTCGAAGAGGTAAAACGTGAGATGGTATTCGCCTAGGCAAAATAGATCTGAAATTTGCAAATGTAAAAGAGACCAGATATTCACAGGGGTAAAAGAGACTTTGTATTCGCCAAGGTAAAAGAGACCTGAAATTTGTAGACTTAAAAGAGACTAGATATTTGAAGATGTAAAAGAGACTTGATATTCTCAGAGGTAAAAGAGACTTGATATTCGACAAGGTGAAAGAGACCAGATGTTTGAAGATGTAAAAGACACTTGGTATTAGCAGAGGTAAGATAGACTTGGTATTTGTCAAGACAAAAAAGACCTGTAATATTCGGAGGTGAAAGAGACCAGATATTTGCAGTTGTAAAAGTGACTTGGTATTCGCAGAGATAAGATAGACTTGGTATTTGTCAAGACAAAAAGACCTGAAATTTTCGGAGGTAAAAGAGACAAGATGTTTGCAGATGTAAAAGACGCTTGGTATTCGCAGAGCCAAGATAGACGGTATTTGTCAAGACAAAAGTCCTGAAATTTTCGGAGGTGAAAAGAGACCAGCTATTTGCAGATGTAAAAGTGACTTGGTATTCGCAGAGGTAAGATAGACTTGGTATTTGTCAAGACAAAAAAGACCTGAAATTTTCAGAGGTGAAAGAGACCAGCTATTTGCAGATGTAAAAGACTTGGTATTCGCAGAGGTAAGATAGACTTTGTATTTGTCAAGACCAAAAAGACCTGATATTTTCGGAGGTAAAAGAGACCAGATATTTGCAGATGTAAAAGGACTTCATTCGTAGAGGTAAGATACACTTGGTATTTGTCAAGACCAAAAAAGACCTGATATTTTCAGAGGTGAAAGAGACCAGATATTTGCAGATGTAAAAGACTCTGGTATTCGCAGAGGTAAGATAGACTTGGTATTTGTCAAGACCAAAAAGATCTGATATTTTCAGAGGTGAAAGAGACCGATATTTGCTGATGTAAAAGGACTTGGTATTTGCAGAGGTAAGATATCTGGTATTTGTCAAGGCCAAAAGTCCTGAAATTTTCGGAGGTGAAAGAGACCAGATATTTGCAGATGTAAAAGAGACTTGGTATTCGCAGAGGGAAAAGAGACTTGGTATTAGCCAAGATAAAGAGACCTTATAATTGCAGAGGTAAAAGAGACCAGATATTCGCAGATGTAAAAGAGACCAGATATTCGCAGATGTAAAAGAGACCAGATATTCGCAGATGTAAAAGTAAGTTGATATTCGCATAGGTAAAAGAGACTTGGTATTCGCCTAGGTAAAAGAGATCTGAAATATGCAGAGTGTAAAGTGGTCATATATTCTTAAAATGTAAAAGAGACTTAATATTCAAGGAGGTAAAAAGACTTGGTAATTGCAGAGGTAAAAAGACTTGATATCTGCCGAGGTAAAAGAGACTTGTCATTCGCAGAGGTAAGAGACCTGATATTCGCAGAGTTAAAATAAACAAATATGTGTTTCTATCTGTTAAAAATTCTTAACCAAATATTTGTGAAGTAAAGAAGGATTTGAGGAGAATAGGAAATCCAAAACTGCTCTTTGAAATCAGTAAATGGTAGAGAAGACATTTGAGACACATAATAAGAATAACCTCCCCGAACTTAAAACTAGCGTTTGAAAAGAAGAAAACAGTGAATAACTTATTTAACTAGTTTGAGTGAATGGATAGCTGGACAATGGCTATAAGGAAGAAAAGAATGATATAAGGAAAACAAACATTTAGGAGTAATAAAAGAAGATTTGTACAGTCATGATAGCACACGTCCATACGGCAAAATAAATATACGAGAAATGCGGAAGCCTATTTCAATAAAACTGCACTATTATTTATACAAAATATTTATTTGGAAAAAAACAAGTGTCCATATTTAGAGCAAATATTTTCAAATCAATAAATGACATAAAATATCCTAACTCGTAAGCTCAGTGAGGTAAATGGATATAATATTTTATCTAATTATACAATGAAATGCGGTCCAATCAATAAGTTCAGGGCTTATTTAAGACATCGATCTCTTTATTGACAGAAATGAATTGAGTAGTGGTAAGCAAGCCATTATAGAAATGTCTTTACTTCGTCTTGTGCTTTCTTCTCAATAACATTCAAAATAAGAAGAGAAATCTCTTGTCTAGTTCTCAATCCTTGTGACCATAAACTCATTCAGGCAGAGATAAAAAAACAGGACTTTTTAACAAATTATTCAAACATGACGTTCTATTTTTCTGTCACCAAACAACGATCATCGGTATTTATTTAACGAGAAAAAACTAAAAAACAAAACCCTTAAAATGATCTGGTGAATTTTTTATGCTTTTCCTTTTTTTGCCTCTGGATGGGGAGCATAAGATGGCCCATGATTTTTATATGCCGCGTTCCTTTAGGGTCATGTCTCCACACTTTCTGTGTGTGTAGCTTCAGCAGTTTTTCACCCACATAGCCTTAAATCTCCATCCGGTTTCGTAAACAACAAAGAGCGAGGACCACCATTCACTAGGACGTAACCTCCTCTAAAACTTTTGCTCCATCATTGCTTTTTAGTTTAGCAACAATGAATGGGCAGTTGTGATTCAAATAAGAGGGATGACTATTTTCCTTTTTAACTGAATGCTCACTTTGTACCCTTTTAGCATTTCTATGTCAGATCTTTCTTAGACTTCACACTATTCACTAAGATTCTTGCAGCGGTACAAAGAATGGATCATTTTCTACACATGTTTAGCATTTGAAGGTTGTTGCGAAAAACAATGGAGAATATGCTACAGATCATATATATATATATATATATATATATATATATATATATATATGTGTGTGTGTGTGTGTATATATATATATATATATATATATATATATATATATATGAAGAAAGACAAAAGGGAAACTTACCTTAGCCGACGCGTTTTGTTCTCTGAGTGGATTTTTTTCAAGGCAATGAGGGAATTTATTTGAAAACAAGTATTTATATACGAGAGCAAATATTTTATTGGTCTTTTCAAGAATTTTAGGTATAGGGACGCCGCTCACAAATATTAATCAGGTAAGGTGAAATGTTTTATACCTAAAAATTCTGAAAAACCAATAACATTTTAATTTTGTTACAAATGAAATCCTAAATCTTGCTTTTGATAAGAGGGGATAAACGTTGGCCAATATAAAATTCCTTTTTTCTTTATTCATATTGTTCTTTACAGATATACTCTATCTGAAATTATTTCATATATATATATATGTGTGTGTGTAATAATAATGTATAATAACTGGAATTTGAACTCTGGCTCTCCGATTCCTCAATCCAAGCCGCTATCCACTACCCACTGTGCATATATGAGTAAGACCAAAGGGAAACTTATCTTAGCCGATAGCGTTTGCAATTTGAGGGATTTTTCAAGACAAATATGAGGATTTTATTTTTGAAAACAAGTATTTATATACGAGAGAAAAGCTTGCATCGAAACACTCACAAATATTAATCTGGTTAGCTGAAAGTCCAATACTATACATTTTGAAACCAATAACATTTTTGTTCTTGGATACTAGCTACAAAATGAAATCCTCTTACATTTGTTGATAAAGAGGACGAAATGCGTCGGCTAACATAAATTTCTTTATTCATATTGTTCTTTACAGATATACCTATCGGAAATTATTATACGTATATATATATATATATATATATATATATATATATATATATATATATATGTGTGTGTGTGTGTGTGTGTGTGTGTGATATATATATATGTGTGTGATATATATATATATATATATATATATATGTGTGTGTGTGTGTGTGTGGTGTGTGTATTTTTAGGTAGGTTGATTTTTCACTTTTTAAAAAATCAAAAAAAAAGTAATGTACCAGAAAGTTGTGTATAGACCAATTAAAATAATAATGGGTGCAGCCCAATGGCTGCCACTAGGAAGGAACATGCTCTAAAACCCTAGCCTACCAATGCTTTTAGTTTAGCAACAATTAAAGATAGTTAGAATGAAATGAGCAATCTCAGAGATTCAAAATAAGAGGAGTGGGGACTATTTGCCTTTAATTGAATGCCTCGCTTGTACCCCCTTTTTAGCATTTCTAAGGCCGTTCTTTCGATTTCGCTACACTATTCACTGATATTCTGTAAATAACTTTTGTCATCTATTCTCACGTGTCCGTGATTCTTTCGCACGTCACTGGCTCAAGGATGAGAATACTGAAGCGGTTTTGGTCTCAAAAGTTTTTCTTAAAAGAACTCTATGATTTTCATAAAAAAACATTGAAATGGTTCAGATAAATTTTCTTTTGAAATTAGATTTGCCCATTGGTTCCATGAAATTTATTGGGATTAGATGAAATCACTCCAGTAACCACTTGTATAGGAAACATTATACCATTTAAGTTAATTTTTTCTCTGGCACTTTGTCTTTATATGATTGTATGACATACATATATGGATGTCTTGGAACCACGTGTTAGCTATTGGCCATTGAAACTAATTCTTTCCACGTTCAAGTTGCCGTTCCTTGTCCGAATCTTCCTGCTATATCTCCTGCTTTCTCCCACAGCTATGGGTAACAGCAAGACAGACCAAGGTTCTAGTAAACTTGGATGACAACTGGTCTACCGCAAAAGAAAATGGCAAATATACAAAGGGAAAAAAGTCTCCCTCGTTAGTCATGGGGACGAAAGATACATGATCGCCTAAGCGTGTATCATGTATGGTGGCATTAACTGATTGATTGATATTGCATAATAGTTTCTACTTTTCTTTTGTTTCTAACCAAATCTTTTTAAAATTTTTTTTTGTTATTAATCCGTTTTCGGATTTTGTCGAATTTTTTTTCGCCTGCATAAATTATCTTTGATAATTGCTCACAAATTCTTGGGTTTGTTGTTTGGCCATCTGGTTACCGTCTTAGATTCTTCATTTATTGCCCATAGCCTATTCTGTATTTTAGAATGGATGTTATTTTTCTCCCTTTCTTTGTTCCCTGTGAGTTATTTCTCCTTCTGTGTTTACTGCGCCGCAAGATAATCTTATATTGACATTAGGGTGGCTTATGTCGATCTTTAGGAGATGTTAATTTATTGGTTGTTGTTCCTCACGGTTTGTCCCATTATTTTATCAACCACATCCTTGCGTTAGTTTTGGTTGCTAGTTTGCAAAAAATTTTAATTCAGTTTGATTATAAAATTGTAACGAGGGCAATATTACCCAAAAGCTACATTACAATATCTTAAAAATAAATCAAGAAAACCTGGCAGTTCGAACAGTTCTCAGAGGATTTCAAATGCAAATGCTTTTGAAGAAGAAATCATTTTGTATTTGTATCGTTTTTCGCTATAATACATATTTAAGCCCAGTTTGCCTACATTGTCATTCACGATGAAATTTTATTTATATCTGACCAGGGATCAAGAATTGATGTCTCTAAATCCTTTGTCCAGCTTTTTGTTACAACTGGTTTCTCATTTTTGAAAATTGTTATAAAAATCGTTAATAGAAGAACTGGCTGAAAATTTTTATGGTAAAAATTCTTCTTTATTTGTTTTTCAAATTGCCTTTAATAATTTATCTTACATATGGTGTCATTTGACTTTTATCATCCTTGTTTTGATATTTTTTAAAGATACTGATTAGTTAAAAACTGATTATAGGTTTTCTTTTTTCTTTCTATATTGTCTTGTAGGTTTTAAAACATAGCTACATTCTTCTCTATTGTTTGTCTCAGAAACTTATCGATTGTTCATCGGATTATTGAATTTAAAATATTTTTATTATTTTTCGATAATTTCACGCTGCTTACACGCTTTTTCCATGGTAAAGAGAATCCCTTTTTGTAGAGGAGAAAGAACAATCTTCTTCAGGATTGAGAAATTATTTATTTAACGTCGGTGGCCGGGAAAATGACAGTACTCTTTTGTCGGATGAAATATTTTCCACAGGCGGGATAAGTAAGTGAGAGAATACACTATTAGATTCATGTGAGTTACAGTTAGATTCTAACTAGGATAAATTTCTCGTTTTTGATATATTTAGTTCTCAATCTATAGTACCAAGCCTAACCAATGAAGAGAGCGCATTAGAACAGGAAGCATGAAAATATTTAAATAAAATGTTGTGGTAGGGATTCAATTTAATTTATAGAGGAGTACTGACCATAAATATGATTGGTACTGAAGAGAGAGAGGAATCAAGAGATTCAACCAGAGACTCTGCCTAACTGCGACACAGTCAACACATTTCTCTCCAGGAACGGTCTTATCAGAATATACAAAAGACTATACGTAAATATTGTGTACACTTTCTTGTTTCAATACATTTTGTTCTAAGAACATTTTGTGTTGCATTATTATTCCATGCATTAGTCAAGTTTCAATAATAAGTAATCTTTTAACTCGATGACAGAAAATGTAT